TACCCAAAGCAATCTAGAGATTCAATGCAATCTCCATTAAAATGCCTATGGCTTATTTTACAGCCCTCCAAAAATTTATATGGAATAAAAAAAGACACCGAATAGCTGCAGCAATCCTGAGAAAGAACAAAGTTAGAGGGATCATAATAACAGATATCAAGTTATATTACAAAACCACTGTGCTCAAAACTGCCTGGAACTGGCACAAGAACAGAAGGGAACAGAACAGAGAACCCAGAAACTGACTCAAGCCATTATGCTCAATTAATATTTGACAAAGGAGGCAAGAGCATACAATGGAGTTAAGACAGTCTCTTCAATAAATGGTGTTGCGAGAAATTGGACAGATACATGCAAAAAATGAAACCTAAATAGATGCAACCTTTTGTTGACATAAGCAGTATGTATTTACGGAGAGCCCAAAGTGTGTATTCCGAATTTAACTGCAAACATACTTTGTTCTTAAGAGCTTTAAGATATGGTTGAGAAGGCCCATTTAACAGAATGACAAAAAGAACACATAATTAGAAGGTCAACTGTACAGCACACAGTCTGTAATCATGGTGGAAGCAGGAGCTGCAAAGGTCAATTCAGACCTGGAGGCTTTTGCACTCTTGGCAAAACTTCACAGGAAAGCCAGCAAAAGAGGATAAAAGGAATCTTACTAGCCACCAGATATAGGCTCTTCTGAGACATAAAGGGACCTGGGTGAGGGACAGGAAGTTTAGTTTGGCTTATGTAAATTGTGGAGGAAGAGGACTTGTGGGAGAGTACAGGAAAGGCAGGTTATAGCCACCAAATAACTGTGGATGTTTATGTACTTACTAGAGGCCCAGTACACGAATTCGTGCACGGGTGGGGTCCAGCCAGCCCACCCCTATGGGGACCCATTGGGCCAGGCTGGCCAGGGGGAGGGGCTGCGGGCAGTTGGCCGGGCCCCCTATCCGTGTGTTGGGGGCTGATCAGGGTGCAGGCTGGCTGGGGGTGGGGAGGTGCAATTGGGGCCTGGATCAGGCCAGTTGGCTGCTGCAGTGTGCGTCATAGCCACCAGTCGTTCTGGTAGTTTCACTGTTCCGTGCTGGGCTTTTATATATATAAACTGTTAAAGAAGAATGGGTTGTGATCAGATCCTAGAAGGCCTTGAATGACAACTCTAATGTTATTTTGAAGGCAGTAGTGATCCCACAACCCTGAAAAGGGTAGGATCCAAAAATGAATTGTCCTGCCAACCACACAGGGTTCCTCCACTCTGGATACAGTGGCAAGATGGACTTCCCTGAGTCAGTATCCTTAATCTATCATTTAAAGCAGGGGTGGGAACATCCAGCCTGCAGGCCATATAAGGCCTGAACAATCATTTGGTCTGGCCCTGCCAAGGCATTAGGGGTGAGTTAATTAAATGATTGACCAAATAGAGCAGTCTAATGTTTAAGTTGATAATTTTGTATGGCCTGTGAATGATGTTATAAAATCCAAATGGCCCTTGGCAGAAATAAAGGTTCCCCACCCCTAATCTAAAGCTTTGCTGGCCTGGCAGGTTTGTTTAAGTGGTTGAGAAAGAGATCACAGTTCGATTCCCGGTCAGGGTACATGCCTGGGGAGTGGGGGGAAGAGGGGGTTGTGGGCTCGATTCCTAGGGGGGGGGGGCGTTCGGAAGGCAGCTGATCAACAATTCTCTTTCATCTTTTTAAAAAATATATATATTTTATTGATTTTTTACAGAGAGGAAGAGAGAGGGACAGAGAGTCAGAAACATCGATGAGAGAGAAACATCGATCAGCCGCCTCCTGCACACCACCTACTGGGGATGTGCCCGGAACCAAGGTACATACCCTTGACCGGAATCGAACCTGGGACCTTTCAGTCCGCAGGCCGACGCTCTATCCACTGAGTCAAACCAGTTAGGGCTCTCTTTCATCTTTGATGTTTCTGTCTCTCCCTCTTCCTTCCTCTCTCTGAAATCAATAAAATCATATCTTAAAACTTTTCTAATGAACATTCTACAACTATTTTGATACACTCATTAGATGAGTGTTTCCTTCGAGAAGCTTTAATGGAGAACTGACCCCTCTTTCAAAAGATTTTTGAGAACACTTAAAAAGCATCTTTCATAATGGACCATTCTCCAGAAGAATATCCACAGATGTCCAAACCCATATAATAATGTTATTTTAGTACTAATAATACAAGCATTATTTCATTTAATCCTGACATATGAAGTAGAGACTATCATAACCCTCATTTTATAGATCAGGGGTCCTCAAACTACGGCCCGCAGGCCACATGCAAATACAAATATTGTATTTGTTCCCGTTTTGTTTTTTTACTTCAAAATAAGATATGTGCAGTGTGCATAGGAATTTGTTCATAGTTTTTTTTTTAAACTATAGTCCGGCCCTCCAAGGGTCTGAGGGACAGTGAACTGGCCCCCTGTTTAAAAAGTTTGAGGACCCCTGTTATAGATAACCTTGCTAAGAGACTTAGAGAGGATAAATAACTTTCTAAAGGTTGTGTGTAGCTCATTTAATGGTGGAACCAGGACTTGCCCAGGTCCCTCTGACTTCAGGAAACATGCTCCTGGCCACACTGCCCTTGAGTTTGTAATCCAAACTCAAGGGTTCCCATTTTTTGAAGTGGCTGATTCGGACAATAAAACCCCATCTCTGTGGTTGGTGTAGAGGTTGTGAGAACTCCCAACTTATTTGGGAACTTTCTGTTAGCAACATAAAAACTTTCCAATGTTGTATTTTTGGTAGAAATGGAGAAGAGGAAGTCACTACCATTTATTCAACAGCTTTTAAGGTCACTATTAAACTGTACAGAGATTTTATACCCCTAATTAGTACATCTCCTTTAAATTCCAATTGATTTTATCTTTCCAAATCTTCCAATATTCATATGTAATCCATAGAACCACCATTTGGGCACGCTATATTTACAAAATACAGTTAAATGACAAAAATATTAAATTTAAGGCTATGGCATTAATTAATAAACATGATATGGACAAATACCACATAAAAATCACACAGCAAAAAATTAGAAAGAAACAAATATACTGAATATATTACTTTTCAAAGTAAAAAACATACATAAATATGGAAAGCATTAAGAAAAAATTTTATTCCTTTATGCTACATCTTTTTTTTTAAAATGTATTTTATTGATTTTTTACAGAGAGGAAGGAAGAGGGATAGAGAGTTAGAAACATCGATGAGAGAGAAAACATCGATCAGCTGCCTCTTGCACACCTCCCACTGGGGATGTGCCCGCAACCAAGGTACATGCCCTTGATCGGAAATCGAACCTGGGACCTTTCAATCTGCAGGCCGATGCTCTATCCGCTGAGCCAAACCGGTTAGGGCTATGCTACATCTTAATAGGCCAATCATCCAAGCCAAATCTTTCTTTGAAAGAATTTTAAAAGATAAATTATATTTTTATGCAACTATAGGGAACAGTGTATTAGTAAAACAATACCTTATGTTAAGCTATAATATATTCTAAGCACTTACTGTTTATCATAATCAAATTATTACAGATTTTGAATAACAGTTTATGTGCTTTTATAGAGAAGATGACATGCTGAATTTGAGATAATGTATAAAAAATTGTATTTGATGAAGTATTATTCCTGGCTATGAGACAATTGTGCTTTGGCAGTAAATTGATTTGGGGAACAGAGATATAATAAAGAAGCCAAAGAGGGGAAAACAAATAAAAATTATGTGGGTGAACTTTTCAATACACTAATTGATTCTGAAGAACCTCTTCCTGCGGGTGCAGAAAAGAACATATAAAGTTATTGTTTTCTGTTGTATGACAAATACCAAAAGAAATAATTTTTAAAAAGTCTAATTTTAGTGAAGTACTTAGTACTTGATGTTTGAATAATACATAGTAATAAAAACACTTTAAAGTTTAATACCAATAAAACAAATATATTATTGTGATATATGCTAACATGCATTAATGAAGAAAAAGGCACAAATCTTTTATTTTCTTCCTTACCTAAATCAACCTTAATTATCTTAGTTAAACTGCATACCTCAAAAATCTGTAAGAGAAAAATGTTAGCCCTGGCTGGATGATTCAATTGACTGGAGTGTCATTCCATGCACCAAAATGTTGAAGATTGGATTCCAAGTCGTGGCATATACTTAGGTTGTGGGTTTGATACCCCGTTGGGGCATGCAAGGGAGGCAACTGATTGATGTTTCTTTCTCACATCAATGTTTCCCTCTCTTTCTTTCGCTCTCTGAAATCAGTAAAACATATCCTCGGGTGAGGATTAAAAAAAAAAGAAACAGAAAAATGTTAATGATTTGCTAAAGAGTAGGATCCTAAGAGTTTTTAAAAATTCATATTGTGCATATAAAGTTACTTGGGACATAAAACATTTTAAAATGTGTTCATTTTAAGTAGAACTCCATATTTCTTGGGTTTACATGCAAATACAAAAATTACAGAAGTAGGAAATTTTTAGGAAAAAATATCTACACTTTGCCACAATAAAATAAATACAGGAGAATACAGAAGCCAATGGAATAATAAACTTGTTTCCTAAGTTTTAATTTCATTTATATCCTTCCAGATCCCAAGTACTACTTTATTCCTTCATTGGTTCAACAAATATTTGCTGACCACTACCCTCAACCAGAAACAGGATACAACAGGGTTCTAGCAAAGTTCCAATCCCCCAAATGTTCAAAGTCTAGAAAGAGAACCTGGAAGCTACACACAGGAGAAGGGCAAGATTCTAGACATCATGGGGAGAGATTTTAAAGTCTTAAACAGGAAATGACATAAGCTATAGAATAGGCTTGTGGGGGAGAGGTAAAGCATGTTACTGTGACTGAGAGCATAGCATTTGTAATCCGTATTAAAAAATGTGGGCAGAAGTTTGTAATGTGGGCAACTGAGTAAGGAAAGTAGTTGCACAATTAATGTGCAAAGTGCTCAATAAATACTAATTTTTTCTTCCTTCTCAAAAAACTTACCTTTCTGCACGAATCACACCACTGTAGTAGGGGGGATCCCAAGGCATTAATTCCTACAATGAAAAAGTTCACTGTTATGAAAGCTATCGACTATTTCACAACTTTTATTAATAATTTAGCTAGTTTATAAGATGTAAACCAGTTATTATATCAGAAAAGTTCTATAAAACCCTAAAAATTCATGACTTGGCAGGAAATACCTGCCTCTTTATTTCAACTTTTCTGTAATCAATGAGTGAGAGTTATAAGTAAGGCATAATCCCAGAATTTGGGGAAAAGGTAAACAAATATCATTTAAAAATATAAACTAATAAAAGTCAACATTAATAGATTAAATCAGCCATGTTGAAATTTCTCCCAAAATATAATCCATAAAACATAATGGAGGTAAGATTAGTGTATTAAAGGTAAGATTACGTTCTTTCTAAACCTAAGCAAGAAGCTTAGGGTGGATCCCCAAAATGAAAGCAACAATTTAAAATGTAACTAAAGCAGAATTAACTCTAATCTTAGCAAAGAAAATATGTCATGGAGAAATGCTATAATAACACTGTTTTTGATGACTGGTACGGAACAATGAAAAAGACAAGCATGGATACCTGAAGGATCATCCTCCCCACAAACTACACAGGTGACAAAGAGTGTTTCAGAGGCAAGGCGGCGAAGTCAGACTGCTTGGGTTCAAGTCTTTGATCCACACTAGTTTTAAGACTTGGAAAACTTATTTCTGCTCACTGATGCTTTCTTGTTCTCCTCCTACGTGACCTGATCTCTTCCAGGCTATACCCTGAACCCACCTCCTCCGACTGTCCCCCTCCCTCAGTCTACTCTGGCTGCACTGGCCTCCCCATGGCTCCCTGATCACACAGGGCAGCCTCCTGCCTCAGGCCCCTGCACCTGCTACCTCTCTCTTAGAATGGCCTTCTCTGTGCTGTCTCCATGGCATACTCCTCACTTCTTCCAAGTTTTTGCTCAAGTCCACTTACTGACCAATACGTATAAAATAGCAACCTCCGTCCCCTTTTCTCTGCATTATTTTCCCTATAGCCTTTATTCACTTTATATTTTTATTTAAAAATTTTAATGTTGACACTGTAGATGTCTCCCCTTCCCCTCTCTTTACCCACCTCCAAATATACCCCCTCCCTCTCCCTTGGCCTTCACCACACTATTGTCCATGTCCATGGGGTATGGATATATGTTCTTTAGCTAATACCTTCACCTTCTTTATTCAGGGCCCTCCACCTCCTTTTCCTCTGGCACCCGCCAATCTGTTCCCTGTATCCATTGGGCCAGTTCCATTTTGTTCATAGGTTTATTTTTTTCATTAGATTTTACATATTAGTGCAATCATATGGTATTTGTCTTCCTATGAATGGCTTATTTCCTCTAGCATAATATCAGTACTCTCCAGGTCCTTCGATGCTGTCACAAAGGGTAAGAGTTCCTCCTTTTTTACAGTGTATAGTATACTATTGTGTAAATGTACCACAACTTTTTTATCCACTCATCTGCTGATGGACACTTGGGCGGTTTCCAGATCTTGGCTATTGTAAACAAGTCTGCTATGAACATATAAATGCATATATTATTTCTGATTGGTGTTTCGAGATTCTTGGGATATATTCCCAGAAGTGGATTGCTGGGTCAAAAGGCAGTTACATTTAATTTTTTGAGGAAACTCCATACTGTTTTCCACAGTGGCTGCAACAATCTGCATTCCCACTAATAGTGCACTAGGATTTCCTTTTCTTCAAATCCTTGCCAGCACTTGCTGTTAGTTGATTTATTGATGGTAACCATTATGGCAGGTGTAAGGTGATAACTCATTTTAGTTATTTGTTTTTTTTTAAATCCTCACCCAAGGATATTTTTTTTCATTGATCTTGAGAGAAAGAGTGGAAGGAAGGGAGGGAGAGAGGGAGGAAGAGAGAGAAAGAGGACATCGACTGGCTGCCTTCCACATGTACCCTGATCGGGACAGGGATCGAGCCTGCAACCGAGGTACGTGCTCTTGACAGGGAATTGAACCCATGACCCTTCCATCCATGTGCCAACACTCTAACCACTGAGCAACTGGCCAGGGCTCGTTGTATTTTTTGAAAAAAACAGGGTCTGAGACGGGGTGGGGGGGGGGGTGGAGAGCTAAAGGGAGGTCTTTAAGGAGGCGTGTTCATAGCACAGAAAGACCAGCCACAGCAGTGAATCAGGGACAGTGGTGGGAGGAAGGCCGGGCACAATGGGGGATGAAGTGAGGAATTTATCTCATTGTAGTTTTAATATGCATCTCTCTTACGATTAGTGACCTTGAGCATTTTTTCATATCTATTGGCCATCTGTATGTCCTCTTTGGAGAAGTATCTATTCAGGTCCTGTGCCCATTTTTTTTTATTGGATTGTTCTCCCGTTGTTGAATTGTATAAATTCTTTATATATTTTGGAAATTAACTCCTTATCAGATGTATCACCGGCAAATATGTTGTCCCATACAGTGGGCTCTCTTTTCATTTTGTTGTTTGTTTTTCTGTGCAGAAGCTTTTTAGCTTGATGTAGTCCCACTTGCTTATCTTTTCCTGAGTTTCCCTAGCCCCCAGAAACATATCAGGAAAAATAGTGCTGTGAGAGATGTCTTGAGATTCTACTGCTAATGTTTCCTTGGGTTTTTATGGTTTTGTGTCTTACATTTAAATCTTTTATCCATATTAAGTTTATTCTTGTGTATGATGTAAGTTGGTGGTCTAGTTTCATTTTTTTGCATGTATCTGTCCAATTTTTCCAACACCATTTATTGAAGAGACTGTCTTGACTCCATTATGCTCTTGCCTCCTTTGTCAAATATGAATTGAGCATAATGGCTTGAATTGGTTTCTGAGGTCTTTGTTCTGTTCCATTGGTCTATATGCCAGTTCTTATGTTAGTATGAGGATATTCTGATTACAATGGCCTTGTAGTAGTTTGATATCTGATATTGTGATACCTCCAACCTTGTTCTTTTCCCCAAGATTGCTGTGGCTATTCGGGGTCTTTTTTTTTTTTTTTAATTTTCTTTCATTGCTTAAAATATTACAAAGAGTAGTATATATGTCTCCTTTTTTTTCCCCCTTGGCCTTCCCCCGGCCTCCCCTAACCTCCAGTGTCTTATGTCCATTGGTTTATATACATGCATACAAGTCCTTTGCTTGATCTCTTACCTTCCCCCAACCCTCCCCGGTCTTCCTGCTGTAGTTTGACATTCTGTTTGATGCTGCTCTGCCTCTGTATCTATTTTTGTTCATCAGTTTATAATGGTCTTTATTATCCATAAATGAGTGAGATCATATGGTATTTTTCTTTCATTGACTGGCTTATTTCACTTAGCATAATGCTCTACAATTCCATCCATGCTGTTGCAAATGGTAAGAATTCCTTCTTTTTTACAGCAGCATAGTATTCCATCGTGTAGATGTACCACAGTTTTCTAATCCATTCATCTGCTGATGGGCACTTAGGCTGTTTCCAAATCTTAGCTATGGTAAATTGTGCTACTATGAACATAGGGATGCATATATCCTTTCTGATTGGTGTTTCTAGCTTCTTGGGATATATTCCTAGAAGTGGGATCACGGGGTCAAATGGGAGTTCCATTTTTAACTTTTTGAGGAAACTCCATACTGTCTTCCATAGTGGTTGCACCAGTCTGCATTCCCACCAGCAGTGCAAGAGTGTTCCTTTTTCTCCGCATCCTCTCCAGCACTTGTCATTTGTTGATTTGTTGATGATAGCCATTCTGACAGGTGTGAGATGGTACCTCATTGTTGTTTTGATTTGCATCTCTTGGATGATTAGTGACTTTGAGCTGTTTTCATATGTCTCTTGGCTTTCTGAATGTCCTCTTTTGAAAAGTGTCTATTTAGGTCTTTTGCCCATTTTTTTATTAGATTGTTTATCTTCATTTTGTTAAGTTGTATGAGTTCCCTATAAATGTTGGAGATTAAACCCTTATCGGTGATAACATTGGCAAATATGTTCTCCCATGCAGTGGGCTTTCTTGTTGTTTTGTTGATGGTTTCTTTTGCTATGCAGAAGCTTTTTATTTTGATGTAGTCCCATTTGTTTATTTTCTCTTTAGTTTCCAATGCCCTGGGAGCTGTTCTGGAATTTTTTGTTCTAGGTCTTTGAAATATACCATTGGTATTTTAATAGGAATTGCATCGACTCTATAGATTGCTTTGGGTAGTATAGCCGTTTTAATGGTGTTAATTCTTCCAATCTATGAACATGGTATATGCTTCCACTTATTTGTATCTGCCTTAATTTCTTTCTTCAATGTCATATCTATAGCCTTTATATCCCCATATGGCACAGCACATGTTTATTTTTTCATGTGTTGTGCTTTCTTCCCCTAAGCTTCATGAGGGCAAGGAACTTGTTTGCATTTTCCCCTATTATATCCTGGTGACACCCTGAACACCGCCTGATACTCAGTATTCACCCAATAGCTATTTGGTGACTGAGTGAACAGCACCTCCCAAACAGGATTGCTTAATGCACTTAAACTGTTAAACAGAACACCTGGCATTGAGTAAGAGCTCTGTAAAGGTTAGCTTCTATCCTTATTACCATTATCCTTCAAATTTCACTTTAGATATTATCTCCTTGAACAATAAGGTACTCTTTCTCATATTCCATGATCATATGTCTATCATGGATGTACACCAACATAAGATACTTGTAGGTTTATTTTATTTTTCTAGTCCCTGAGTGTTCAGTTCCTGGCACATATTTCCTCCAACAGATGATCATTTACTAACTGATGGTATAGAGTGCAGGCTCTAATGATACAAAAAAAGAAAAAAAAGGACATGACTCATGCCAAGGGGCCAATAATGTTGCAGGCAGTAGAAAGATAAGTGGGTCAACAATCTGAGAGCATCAAAACAAATGGTATATCTTGTCTGTGATGTTGAACCATTGACACAGAGCCTAGGAGAAAGGTATTTAAATCGCAATGGAGGTGAGTTGAGTTTTGAAGAATAGGATCACTTAATCCAGATGAGAAAGGGGAAAGGCATCCCGGTATATGATATTTGTAAATTATTGGAAGCTAACTACCATAGTTGCTGGCACATAAATGTCAGTTAGAATTAAAGAACAAAAGAATTAAAGAACAAGGGAAAGCAAAGCTAAAGTAAGAGAGTGCAAAAGCACCATACAGGTATTAGTAAAGAGCAAAGGGCACTAACTTGGCTGATAAGTACAGCAGAAAATAAGGCTAGAGAATCAGGTAGGGTCAAAATCACCAAAGGCTTGATGGGGAAAAAGCTAAGAAACAGGAAGAATTACATGGAGTGACAGAAAAAATGTTAAACAAGAGAGTGACAAGATCAGATTTGCATGGAGCAACAGAAAAATGTTAAACAAGAGAGTGATAAGATCAGATTTGCGGAGGAAACCAAGATGGCGGCATAGGTAAACACCGGAGTTTGCTGCCTCGAACAACCACTTCAAAAATACAACTAAAAGACGGAACGGACATCACCCAGAACCACAGGAAGGCTGGCTGAGGGGAAATTCTTCAACTAGAAGGAAAGAGAACAGCATACCGAGACTCAGAGGAGGCGCAGTGTGGAAAATACAAAGGTGCGGAGGTGCACGCGGAGCGGGCTGGTGGCTGAGGGCGCGGTTGTCGTTTTCAATTGGGAGGGAGTCCCAGGCTCTGAGCTCCAGTTCTGGGGCGAGTCTCTAGGGACCCAGACTCAAACGGGAGAAGCGGGACTGTCTGGCATCTGTCGGAATGCGAGGGCAGCTTTCTCTCCGAGGTTTGCAGCGGTTACTGGGACTCTGAGAGGCAGAGCCTCTGGGGACGGGACAGAGAGCAGCCAGACTGCTCGCTCCGCCCGCCCTGTTGATCCCGTGTGACCTGCCCCGCCCAAGCCTGCGCAGAGCCATTTGCCGGATAGCTCAGGCAAAGGCTAGATTAGCACCTCCCCAGAGGACAGAAGTTTTCCCACTGCAGACACAGCTGATTCTCACAGCCAGTTGGCCTGGAGGTCAAATCCCCCTAGTATTAACTACAACAATCAAGGCTTAACTACAACAAGACTGCGCACAAAGACCACTAGGAGGTGCACCAAGAAAGCATAAAAAATGTGGAGACAAAGAAACAGGACAAAACTGTCAGTGGAGGATATTGAGTTCAGAACCACACTTTTAAGGTCTCTCAAGAACTGTCGAGAAGCCGCCGATAAACTTATTGAGATCTACAAGAAATCTAATGAGACCTTAGATGTTGTGATAAAGAACCAACTAGAAATTAAGCATACACGGACTGAAATAAAGAATATTATACAGACTCCCAACAGGAGACCAGAGGAGCGCAAGAATCAAGTCAAAGATTTGAAATGCGAAGAAGCAAAAAACACCCAACCGGAAAAGCAAAATGAAAAAAGAATCCGAAAATACGAAGATAGTGTAAGGAGCCTCTGGGACAGCTTCAAGTGTACAAACATCAGAATTATAGGGGTACCAGAAGATGAGAGAGAGCAAGATATTGAAAACCTATTTGAAGAAATAATGACAGAAAACTTCCCCTTCCTGGTGAAAGAAATAGACTTACAGGTCCAGGAAGCGCAGAGAACCCCAAACAAAAGGAATCCAAAGAGGACCACACCAAGACACATCATAATTAAAATGCCAAGAGCAAAAGACAAAGAGAGAATCTTAAAAGCAGCAAGAGAAAGAAACTCAGTTACCTACAAGGGAATACCCATACGACTGTCAGCTGATTTCTCAACAGAAACTTTGCAGGCCAGAAGGGAGTGGCAAGAAATATTCAAAGTGATGAATGCCAAGAACCTACAACCAAGATTACTTTATCCAGCAAAGCTATCATTCAGAATTGAAGGTCAGATAAAGAGCTTCACAGATAAGGAAAAGCTAAAGGAGTTCATCACCACCAAACCAGTATTATATGAAATGCTGAAAGGTATCCTTTAAGAAGAGGAAGGAGAAGAAAAAGGTAAAGATACAAATTATGAACAACAAACATGCATCTATCAACAAGTGAATCTAAGAATCAAGTGAATAAATAATCTGATGTACAGAATGAACTGGTGATTATAATAGAATCAGGGACATAGAAAGGGAATGGACTGACTATTCTTGGGGGGGAAAGGGGTGTGGGAGATGCGGGAAGAGACTGGACAAAAATCGTGCACCTATGGATGAGGACAGTGGGTGGGAGTGAGGACGGAGGGTGGGGTGGGAACTGGAAGGAGGGGAGTTATGGGGGGAAAAAAAGAGGAACAAATGTAATAATCTGAACAATAAAGATTTAATAAAAAAAAAAAAAAAAGACCAGATTTGCTTTTTAGAAAAATCCCTCTGATGGTGATTATTTAATTCATTAGTTTCTATTTCAGGTAGGTGCTGAGTACATACTCTGTGTCTAACACTGAGCTAGGTTCATTGCGAGGCACTCAGAATCCAGGATGGTTTTGAAGGGGGCCTGACAAAAGGCTAGAAAACCAGTTTGGCAACAATATGGGTGAGTAGTAGTAATAATGACCTCAACCAGGACTATGGCAATGAGCCTGAAGAGTAGGGAACATGGAGTTCTCAAGAAGGTAGAATCTATAGGACTTGATAACTGATTATAAAGGGTTGGGGGAAATTCATGTGGAGGGCTTGCTGAAACACAAGATTGTGGGACTTTAGACTCAGTGAGCCTCAGATGGGGCTGGAAAATTTGTACTTCTAGTAAGTTCCCAGGTGATGCTACTGCTTCTGGTCCAGAGAACACACTTTGAGAACGACTGTTATAAAGTAAGTCCAGGTTCCGTCTTGGGGAAGAGAGTGAATAGCGGAACCATTCACCAAAACACATTCTTTGTGAGAAGATGGGCATTTAATAAATAAATGCCTGCCAAATAACCTTCATCAATGACTATATAACCATCAGATTGTTGACTCACTTATCAGAGCCTGCCAGGAGGTCAGGGTTCGATACCCGGTCAGGGTACATGCCTGGGTTGTGGGCTCCATCTCCAGTAGGGGATGTGCAGGAGGCAGCTGATCAATGATTCTATCTCATCATATATGTTTCTTTCTCTCTCTCCCTCTCTGAAATCAATAAAAACACATTTTAAAAAAATGTCTAGGGAGAATAGTTTCAAGTCATATTAGCTTTTAAATTAGCTTTTGGCAACACATTTTATTTTTTCGTTTCTATATTCTGACCCATTATCTGGTTTCTTAAGTGGATTTGCCTACCTAAGCAACGTGTACAGATGACTGTTATTTTGCTAGATACAATTCCTACCATAAATTAAGAAATTGATATGCTACTCTAGAAATAGGTGAATTTAATAGCATTAATCTCTTTCTGAGTGGCTGCATCTGGGAAGCTGATACGACAACACTGAAGGAACAATGGCATAGACAACCCCAGCAATCCTGTAGCGCCCTCAAAACATATGGGAAGCAGGATCCTAATACCTGGAATACTATCCCTCTCAGGGCACCCCAATCACTTGGCCAGCATTCTCACCATAAAGACATGTTAGTTTGCATTATAACATCATGTGATCCTTTGATCTTGGGATTGAAAAAAATACAAGTATTTTTAGAATGGGTATACTTTGTCATTCATATTGATTTGAGTTCCACAAATTAGCAAACAAGTAAACTGCAACATTATCACTGATGGTTAAAACTGTCTCCTGCCAGATCAAGCATACACCTAGGCTCCTTTAAGGCTGCTTCAAACAAAGAAGCCAACTTTCTACAG